GTTAATGAGTTCAGTTTACTTCTAGGTAACTGTTTGATTTATTTTTCATCAATGCAAATGAGGATAAAATTTTCAGTTAAAATGCCAGTAAACTTTTATTTGTATTATTGAAAACTTAAGGAAACAGTATGAAGCTGTTTTATTCAAATTGTTCATATGATCTTCGAAAAAGGGCTCAAGCTATAAATATTGTGTTCTCTGTTGGTGACTTTATGCTATTGAGGGGTATTGCTATTTTCTGTAATAAAATGGAATTGATGTTTTCTCCATGTGAAATGACCAAATAATTTCTACTAAGAAGGAAGTTTCTTTCAAAACCTGGACAACTTCTACAGCCATCCTACCACATAACTTGTCCTATCAGCTTGACTTCCCAGCAATGCAGAAACAAATTTTTTTTCAGAACTTACCAGAACTCAGGTTCAGGGACAGTCTTGTCCCTCCATCTCTATTTGTATTTCTTTTCCTGAATTACTCATTTGTCACAAATCCTAAAGAAATATAAAGAGGTCTTAGACCCAGGCACAGAAGAGTGTAAAATGTTGGTTGCCACATCGTCACTCCTGCTGCTGAGAAAGAAAATGGGATGCTATTTAGATTATTTCTGTCCTTTCTTCCAGGAGTTAGAGAAGATCCATGGAGTTTATGTGGCCCCAGGAAATTAATTTTTGTTTTACTTGATACTGGTACTGCCTGTTTGTTGCTGAAATAAGCAAATTATAGGATACATTGATTAAATAACAATTTTCTGGAAAAAAATTGTTTTCAGTGCTTTAATTCAGATTTTTAGTTTTAATGCTATGTTACCAAAAAAATCACTTAGAGTTTACAGTGAGATAAAGATTGGCCCTTCTTACAGACACTTTCCAACATCAGTGACAAGAGATGATGAGAGTCAGAACAGCAGGGGACACTCACTTTGCTTTCAAAGTATAAAGGCACATTTTATTGATGTCTGATTGTTTGGATTCCACCTGGGAATGATGAATGCTTATTACAGGATTTATCTACCCAAGTTCTCTCAGTTGATTTAAAAAGAAAAGGAAAATTGAGATGGCTTGAAAAAGAAGCATTTCTTTCAAATTGTTGTGTTTCCACTCTTTCTTTTTAAATTTCTCTTCAGTTGAAGATTTGTTACCACAGTATAATATTACTGGAAACTTAAAGGTGGTTGCCAGTGAATGAATACAGCCAATCGCTGTGAATTTACCTCATCTGCAAGTCAGCCTTCACTGCATGGATAATTACAAACTACATTCTTTTATAGAACTATCCGGCATTGTTCAGTGTCCTGTGGGAACATCAGCCATATTTTGAGAGATGGTAAAAACATTTTGTAAATCCCTCACCCATGGAGCACTCTAGTTAAAGTGTCATTCATGAACTTTATTCATTCTCACAAACCTTAAGCAATGCTGACTTATTGGAGAAATGCAACAATATGTACAAGTCAAGATATCTAGTGACTCCCAGAGTTGAATTGTGGAAATATTGGTTTCTGTGTTTTCTTCTTCAGTGTTGTATCTGTGACTCCTACGCATGTTTGGGTCCTTCTTAAAATCAGGACTAAGAGATAGCAATAGTACCTGAAATTCCTAAGTTTAATATACTGCTGATGCAGAGGTAGCTCAGAAATCACTTAGAATATTCTATTTTCAATACCTGGAATAGAAAATTATAGTCAACACTATTATATAAGTCATATGCATTTAAATGGAGACTAAAAGAAAATTTTAAAATTCTTCTTTTGGTAACATCTGATTGATTTTGAAGTTATGGCCCAATGGGACCGGTGTCACCCTCTTCAGAGAACCTACTGAAATTAGTTTTACTGTGCCTCCTATCCTGGATTTTATCAGACATTGTCCAAAAAATAAGCCCCTGTCTTCTGTGCTCAGCTGCACTGTCATTCCTGTATCATTCAGCACTCACCTCACCCAGCTCTCCAATCTTCCTCACCCCTTTTATATCTATCTCCCTACTAAGTCACCAAAATTCACAAATCTTCATTCATTCATTTAACAAATAGTCATTGAATATCTACTCTGTGCCAGGCCCTGGCATATACATTTCTGATTTTCTTAAACCATCTTTTTTTGCCTGAAGTATGATCTGGTCTCTCCCCTGGAAACTCCCAACAACCCTTTCTGATGACAAGTAAGTGTTTATTCTGAATCTTAGTGTTAGAGGTAGGACTCTTATCCTTGTTTCCTGTTACACTTTCAGGCCGTTCGTTATTCCATCACATTCTTATAAGAAGCCTTCTTCTCATGCCATTCAGCTGTAGCATTGAAGCTTCATTGAAGACTTTTGTTAACTCACTAACTTCAGAATCTACATAAATAACTCATTCTTACTTTTGTCTCCTCAGTTTCTTGACCAATGGTGTTTGCCTCCATTGACTGTTCATTCCAGATCAGGTATTCTACACCTTAGTGATCTAGTCTGCCTCCGGCTTCACTCATTAAGCATCTTCCTCTCTGATTACAATTTCCTATCATTTTAGCTTTCTTGTTCAAGTATTCCCACTACAACTATGTTTCCACATTATTTGAGCTTGTCTCTTTTGGAGTATCCCAATCCATTAGCACTGCCTTTGCTTTTGTCTTGATTCAGCTGAGATTCCTTGGCCCATCATTTTAGTAATTCTGACTTTAACATTCTAAATCCTTTTGCTTCTCTGTTTAGTCAGGTCTCTTTGGTACCTTCCTGTTGCTTTGGGGATAAAAGCCAAAGTCCCTAACATGGCCCACAAGATCCTTCTCCATCTGACCCCTTCCTCCCTCTCTTGCCATATTTGCTCCCTTCATCCCCTTGTTCTCAGGGCTGGTGATACTGTGATCTTTTTTAATCTACTCCTGTAGGTATCTGCCTTCCCACTTCAGGGCTACTGTATATGCTAGACCCTGAAACTGGAATACCCTTTTCCTCCCATGGGCTCCTCGACTTTCTTGGGGAAACTTTCTCTCGGCCCCCAAAACATAGACCACAGCTTCATATTACTTATTCTCATGGTATCCTATAACTTATTACATAACAGTATCCAAAATGTATAATTACGTACTTATGAATTTTATTAATCATTATAAACTTCTATGGACCCTAAGCTCAAGAGTGCTAGGGAAACATATCTGTTTTGTTTTCTGTTATGCCTTCAATGCATAATACATATTACCTTGTACATGGTAGGAAATATTAAGGAGGGTTAGGAGAGAAGGGAGACAAAGGAAGGATAGAAAGATACAAAAGTGGGCATGGGAACATTCCCCAGAGTGACTCCTTATTTATTTGTTAGTTTATTTATTTATTTTATTGTGAAATAAACATTTTTTAAGTTAGTTCAGCTGTACAACAACACAGTGCAATAGTTACACTTTTTACCCCTCAAAGAACAACCCCCACCCAATCCGCCGCCCCCCTCCCCCATATCATACATATCTATTACAATTCCCTTGACTCCACTCCCACACTGTACTCCACGTCCCGTGACTATATATACATATTCAATTATAGTTGACTTATAATATTATACAACATCAGCTTCAGGTGTACAGTGCAGGGATCAAGACTCTACCCCATCCATGAAGTGGTCTCCCTAACAATACATGTGACCCTCTGACACCCTACAAAATATTTACAACATTATTAATTATATTCCCCGAATTGTCTTTCATATTCCTGTGGCAATATTGTAGTTACGCATTTATGCTGTCTAACCCCTTCCCCTTCTCCCTCATCCCCACCCCCCTCTCAACTAGCAACCATCAGTTTTTCCTCTATATCTCGGAGACTATTTCTGTTTACTTTGCTCGTTCATTCAGTTTTTTAGATTCCACATATAAGTTAGATCATATGGTACTTTTCTTTCTCCACCTGACTTATTTCACTTAACGTAATAGTGTCTAGGTCCATCCATATCGTTGCAAATGGTACGATTTCATTCTTCTTTATAGCAGAGTAATACTCCATTGTATAAATGTACCACATTTTCTTAATCCAGTTGTCTACCGATGGGCATTTCGGTTGTTTGCAAGTCTTGGCTATTGTGAATAGCGCTGCAATTAGCATAGGGGTGCATGTATTTTTTCGAATTAGCCTCTTGGGTTTCTCTGCTAGATACCCAAGAGTGGAATTGCTGGGTCATACAGTAGTTCCAGTTCCAGTTTTTTGAGATACCTCCATACTGATTTCCATAATGGCTGCACCAATCTGCAGTCTCACTAACAGTGCACCAGGGTTCCCTTTCTCCACAGCCTCGCCAGCACTTGTTTGTTGATTTATTGATGATAGCCATTCTTACCGGAGTGAGGTGGTATCTCATTTTGGTTTTTATTTGTATTTTCTAATGATTAGTGAGGTTGAACATTGTTTCATATGCCAGTTGGCCATCTGTATATCCTCTTTAGAGAAATCTCCTTTCATATCCTCTGCCCATTTTTTAATTGGGTTGTTTGTTTTCTTGGTGTTGAGTTGAATGAGTGCTTTATAAATTTTAGATATTAACCCCTTATCAGATATATCGTTAGCAAATATCTTCTCCCATTCAGTAGGCTGCCTTTTTGTTTTATTGATGATTTTTTTTGCTGTGAAAAAACTTTTAAGTTTGATGTAATCCCATGTGTTTATCTTTCTTTTATTTCCTTTGCCTGAGGGGATATATCAGTAAAAATATTACTGAGGGTAATGTCTGCAAATTTACTCCAGAAGGTGACTTCTTGAACTCATATGTCCTTGTTTTATCAAAAAATAAATGAAGTTCTTTCTGACCTGAACTGAAAAGAATTACAGTGGAGGGATGATCAGAGATTTATTTCATTTTCTGCTATACCTTCTTGATATATATGTCCGGTCCAGAAAGAGCACAGAATTTTTTGGTGTATGTGTGTGCGCACGCACACGTGCACGCGCAATTTGGTGGACCCAGGAGTTGCCCCCTGTCCAGTCCTCTGACTTTAATTGATCAAGGTGCTCACTTTTTCTCTTTTCTCTATTTATCACAGGTGGAGGAGTTACTGATGGCCATGGAGAAAGTAAAGCAGGAACTAGAGTCCATGAAAGCAAAGCTGTCCTCTACTCAGCAATCTCTGGCAGAAAAAGAAACTCATTTGACCAACCTTCGGGCAGAGAGAAGGAAACATTTAGAGGAAGTCTTGGAGATGAAGTAAGTGTTTTTATCTTCCTTTTCACACATGTGCATAGTAGAAGCACTTCTCTTGAACGCTTTCTTTTCCTGCCCTGTTTATTACCCTGACACACTCAGCCTAATTTGAATGCTGACTTATATTTCTTACTCCCTAAAACAAATTTGGAACCAATCCTGGTCAAATAGAATTATTTTTGACTCCTCTTCTTTGAATTTTAAAGTTCTCTAAAGTATATGTATTTGTATCCAATTGCATCTCTGAAATTTCTGAAACCTTCTGGAACGTTTAGGCAAATTGTTGAGCTTATCGAGAGAGATGACTGTTGGTCCTAAGGTCATATGATGGCTAGGCAATTTTTAAAAATAAGTTTTATTATAAACAGTTCCAAAGGTGCCCAAAGGTAGAGAGAATAGTATTATGAACCCCTATATGCCTATCCCCATATATAACAATTAACATTTTGCCACACTTGCCAGTCAATTTTTACAAAATTGTCACTTTTAACAAAACTTTGCAGTACATTATTTTTCTACTTGCCCTACATCTTATGGCTTCCTGAGATGATAATCTGTGGTGAAGCATGTATACATCTGCTTGTACATAATAGATGCTTCTTTTCCTTCTTTGTAACTTTGAAAAGTTCTGGTTTCCTTCTCTTCAGAATAAGGACATCTTTTTTTAAAGTCCAGTAGTACCGTTTCCTTTACTGTTCCCAACCCTCGCCACACCTAATTGCCCTACTCTCATTTTACTGAAACCAACTTTGTCCTGGGATCCCTCAGTCACATTTACCTTAACAGTTATCTGTATTTTTCTGTCTTCTGCCTCAGAGGAGATATTCCTTCTCCTTCATAAAGCCAGCTTCCTGTCTCTATCACAGATTTTAAGCACTCGTCTCTCCTCTGCAGGCTTCCTCTACCAATTTTGTCTCACGTAATCCTTGCTCACTTTCTATTAGTTCCTTCTTCTCTGCATAAATATGCAGTCTCTCTGACCTGATGTAAACAAACTTGTCTAAGCCCCTCTAGTGCCTTCCACTAATTTACCTCTTTTCTGCTACTTTGAACTGTCAGTAAGTGTGACTACTGGCACTATAGAGGCGTAGAGGATCTTGCCATAATACCTTGGTATGGATTTTCATGGGATATGACTATTGTGATGTCATGATAGCAACCCAAGAAACGAGAAAGCTCAGTGTTGGGGTGTTATCTGCGCTTATGGATTATTAGGCCACAGTGCAAGGTTAAGAAACTGTAACATTTCAGAAAAGAATACAGATGATGTGTTCTTGGAAGTAAATATTTGGAGCCAGAAATAGATTGATATGCTAGGGAGATAGGCAGAGATTAGGGTTCTGAGTGGCATCATGAGAAAAACGTTTGCAAATATGCTTCTTAGGAGCAAGTTAGTGATAGAGGTGTAAGACAAGTTTTTTTGTCACTGGTGGTAAAATTCAAAGCTGGACATTTTGGAAATGGAGTAGCACAGAAAACTTTTGGGTAATAAAGAGTAAAAGCATTTGATTTCAAGAGGTCTGGGAACCATTCCTACAACATAGTAAAAGACAAGAGTTGAAAAGAAAATTAAATCAGGGCTTAAAGTTATTAAGAAAATGGAAGAAGGATGGATACAATTTGTGGGGGGAAACAAGGTGTCATATGTGATTTTCCTAAGCAGAAGCTCGACCTGCTGAGGCAACAACATAAAAGTTTTGTTTTGTTTTCTCTGTGTACTAGTATCTTGACTTCACTTGTCAGATCTTTCCCACTTAGTTCAAATGTCTAGATATAGCAAAATAGTGATATATTTGTATAGGAATTTTCCTTTATTATTAGGACTTTGAAAAGATATGAAGTAATTTTTTAAAGAATGCTTGGTTCTAAACCATGAAGAGAGAATAGTATCTAATTTTTCTTCATGCCACAGTATAAACCCTGTTATGAACTTTCCTTGCCAACCCAGGTTGGAGGTTACACTCCTGAAAAGTACTATGATTGACAAAACTTGTTTTGGTAAGATTACAGTAAGGCATAGGATAAGGAATTAAAAGTATTGGGTTGTCGGAAAAGTCATGACGTGTTTTCTTTGTTTTTCATTGCAAAAATGCATCATGACTTTTCCGACAGTCCAATATATAGTGAAATTTATATAAGTGGTATAGAAATTTAAAAAACAAACATTAAATAAAAGTTCTAGAAATAAAGTGTAAAAACCTGACTCTGGCAGAGGACTCATCTCTTAAATCACCTTCTTCAGTTGCTCAGCTCAGGATATATTACTGTATATCATGATGTTCTTTTTTTTTTTTTAAGATTTTATTGGGGAATTGGGAGAGGGGAACAGTGCTGGGGAATTGGGGGAAGGGGAACAGAAAAGTTGCTGTCCTTTTTGTTCTTCAGTCTAGTTGTGGAGGACATTGCTTCACTGGCCCAAGTTGGCACCATCATTGCGCTCTTCCCTGGTGAGGCAGATCAGTCGCCGGCTTCTGGACGGCCGCTCACAGCGGCTGCTGGCCGCTCACGCTGGCTGTTGGCTACACACGGTAGCCCATGCAACCCACTGCCACAGGGGCTGCAGCCTATGCCGTTGCCGCGATTCACGGCAGCCCAGCTCCAGG